AAGGGGTGGGGGTTTGATTGATTCTCCGCGGGGTTCGGTAACGGATCGTTTTGCCATCTCCGGCGTCCAAGGGCCCCGGGCGGCCCATGCCAGGCCCTCGGGCCGTCAAAAAAAAAACGCCGGGATGAGAAGCCGGTCCCCGAGAAACGGTCCACACCTCTGGGGCGCCACGACGCCGGATGTCTGGGAACTTCCTCCTCCTCCTCCTCCTCCTCCTCCAACGACTCCCCATCTGTCCCTCCTCTGCCCCACCCCCCGTAGTCCCAGGTGGACCCTTGCCCATCTTTCGGCCCCAGAGGGCCGACATCGAAGGAAGAAAGCCGATGCAAGAGATCATGTCACCGAAGATCTGGGTGGAGTGCCACGGTTGAAGGGGCCCTGGGACACACAAATAAATACACACAAATAAAGGGATTCCCGATATTTTCACAACTTTCCTGGGTTTTTGCCTTCCCCCCCACTTCCAATATTTTCCAATATTTTCCTGGGGGTCGACGATTAATTGTGTCTGTGTGTTTTTTCCTTCCTGAACGGTGGCGGAGGCGGGTCCTGCTGCTGCTCGTCGAGCTTCGTGTCCTCCTGGTCGTGCAAGTTCTGCGCCTCCTCCGCCCGGCGCCGCGCCGGGAGCGGTGTAGGAGGAAGGAGGAGAAGGAGGAGGGCGGATGAAGACAGGGGGGAGGGAGGAGGAGAAGGAAGGAAGGAGGGGGAGGAGGAGGTGGAGGAGGCCAGCGTAAGAGAGGAGGAGGGGGCGGAGGAGGAAGAGGAGGACGAGGAGGACCCTGGTTAAGAGTGGCCTTTGGTGCGCGGCATTTTTTGGGCCGCGGGGGGGCCAAACCTGGGCGCGCAAGCCGCTGCTCCTGCTTCGTTTTCAGCCATCTGGGGACCCATCTGTGCCCGCACCCAAAGGTCACTCCGGCGAAAGGTCACCCTTCCGTCTAGTCGATTGGCGAAAAACGTGCAAAAGGAACAAGCAAGATCAACACACATCCATACCACACATGCACAGCAAGAATTCGCAACACACACGCAGAAAATCCGCCGACTCTGTCGGTGTGTGTGGGAGGCTCTTCCGTTCGAGTCGTCCTCGTCGTCGTCACTGTCGCCGTCACCGCTCCCCCTGTCCCTGTCCGTGGGCCTTCCTCGTCAAGTCAAACGTTCCCGTCAAAGAGAAATCGAGCAACGTCGTAATCAAAGGGAAGCCCCTCTTCTTTGATCCCTTCCCCGCCAGGCTGGAGGAGAGGGGTCCCAGGAGGGGCCGGGGGGGGATCCCGAGGGGGGTAGGGGCAGGGGCGTGGGGCGGTCCCGGGGTTATGATCCTCCGCTTCCACTCTGTTCTCTCATCCTCCTTCTGTACGCTACGCCTGCAGTCCCCCTCCCGCCGCCACCGACTGACTTCATCAGATGGGCAGCGCTCGTCCTGCTCGTCCACACCTCGTTGGTTCGCCTCGCTGACTCCTACGACCTCTCACAACGGTCTTGGTTCTGGCGCGGGGGTCGGCTTCCCAGCACCCCAGGACGTCCTGATGAGGAGAGGGATGCGTTCAGCGTCTAACTCGTTCGGTTGTGTGTTTTATCTGTTTCGCGTAAGTGTTACATTGCAGTTCCAGGTGTGTCTGAGGAGTGCGAAGAAGATGGTTTCCAGACACCACCTCGCATGCCCCTGCTTCAACACGCAGGTGACGTCATCTCGCCAGTGCGCGCAGACAGCGGGCTTGACAAGATGGAGCCCGCCAAGAGGAAGCCTCACATAGTACTCTTCTCGCCCGACGACACGGACCTAGAAGACTACTCTCCGTGGCAACAAGAGCAGCTGGACACATTCACACTTCACTCGTGCCCCTCACCACCTGCTGGCACAGGGAGAAAGGAGGAAAAGGAATGAGTTTCAGGTTCACGCCGTCTCGGTGCGGCGGCAGTGCGGGCACCAGCGTGAAGACTGGAGGCCCCAACAGCTCTTCCTCGATGGTGGAGGGAGTAAAGGAGAGGACGGTGAGGGCGAGGCGAACCAAGTTAAACTGAGAAGAGTATATGGGGAGCAGGGGGAGGCGGGAGGACGAGGCGAGGAGGGAGGACAGGGAGGAGAGGACGAGGACGAAGGGGGGGGTGGGGGGCAAGGAGCATGAGTCAGGAGCCTAAGGAGGGGGAAGACGTGACGAGGCCGAGGACGAAGACGAGGAGGAGGAGGAGGAGGGATGACGGCGAGAACGGTGGAAAGGGATGAAGGACGCGCCGGCGGCGGAGTGCGGCGGCGCGTCCTCAGCACGCTCCTCAGGCGCGCCGTCTTCGGAGTGCGGCGGCGGCGCCTGCCGCGGAGGGCCCATGGGGCGGGCAGGGGGGGGGGGGGGGAGGGAGCGGGAGGACCCGTATCCCCGACAATGTGATTTGTGCCATTACGGCGGCTCCCCTTCCCCAGGACCCGTTTTCTTTCATCCAGAGCCGTTCCGTGACGCGCCCAGAGCCTGGGGAGAGCCCCAGGGGGCCGAAAATCACAAGAAATCAT